AATAACAAGGGGACAACAAGGGGACTTATTGACTACTTCAGGCAAATCGTTGATTGTCAGAATAAAGAGAAAAGGTCCTAAATTACTGCCCTGACTGACACCTGATCTTGTAAAGTAGGGTTCGGAAAGCCGTCCGCTGCAGTCTACATACTGACATCGGTCTCGTAAATAACAGGCGAAAAATGATAGCGTATGCGGTGTGCATCCGACGGTAGCCAACTTCGCTAGTAGGACGTCATTGTCTACTGTGTCAAATGCCTTTTTAAAATCAAAATAGGCAACATCCACTTGTTGGCCAGCATCCACCGTTGGTACTATGTGTGTCATTAGCTCGAGCAAGTTCCCCGTTGTCCCTCGCCCGGGACGGAAGCCGTGCTGTGCGTCGGACAACAGAGCACTTATTTGTGGGTACAAACTACTGTGAATGGTCGACTCAAAAACTTTAGCTGGAGTGCATAATACCGCCACGGGTCTATAATCACTGGGGGCTGAACCTCTGCTACCTTTCGGCACGGGTACTACCCGAGTGAGTTTCCAACGATCAGGAAACTTTGCAGCCTTAATACAAACATTGAATATGTGTAGCAACGGCTTTACTAATACTGCACGACAGTCCCTAAAAATAAACGCCGGAATACCATCGGGCCCCGCCGAAGACTTCGGCGGTAAACGCGCAAGTGCGCGCCGTACGTCAGCGGGACGTAAGCACGCGAGATGTGCCCACGCACCCGGCGCCGCACCCGTCGCCGCGCTTATGCTTGCCGCCGCCACGCTCAGCTTAGGAGGCGTCGGATTGTAAACTGACTGGAAGAACCGAGCGAACTCATTGGCACATTCTTGTTCTGATAGTACCCATCCGTCATTGATTAACCTTCGATGATTCGAATCGCCTTTCACAAAACGAGTGTTGAATATGAATGTGGAGGGACACACGGGCAGAGGAAGGCCGAATAAAAGATGGATCGATTGTGTGAAGAGTGATATGAGAATGAAAGGAGTAAGTATGGAAATGACGGCTGATAGAGAGGAATGGAACAAGAAGATTTACTGCGCCGACTCCAGATAATGGGAAATGGTTTAGAGAATGATGATGATTCGAATCGCCTTTCCTAGATCTTATGTACCCCCAAAACGCTCGCGGATCCTTTGCCAAATGTCCCTGCACGCGGTCGCGGTACTGGTCATGTGCTCGTGCAGTCTCGGCTTTAACTCTTGCCCTACATCGAGAGAACTCCTCGTAATCATTGCGTGCTTTGCTAGATTTATATTTTTTATGTAATTTGTATTTTAGCTTTATATCCTTTATTATTTCAGGCGTGTACCAAACCGGATAAGTATATCTCCTATTGACTGAGTTTATATATTTTTTTGGGGGAACACACTTGTCAAAAATATCATATATCTTATCATAAAATAAATTGTGTAACTGAATAAAGTCGGCTTTATTAAAATTCCATAATTTCCGAGTTATCGGGGATCGTGAGCACGAGTATCGTATACACGGCGATCCAGAAGGTATAGTGGTTGCGGGGGGGAGGCTGCGGCGCACGTGCGCCGAGCGCGATGCGCACGGCAAGCGGTGGATGGTACGCGTCCACCGGCTGCAGGCCCTCGTGCGCCGCACTTACCGAGACGCCGCCGCTACTGCACAGCACGAGGTCCAACTGCCTATTGTTACAATTAGTTACCATATTACACTGAGTGAATTCACAGAAGGCCATGAAATATTTGTAATGATTAGATATATTATTTTTACAACAGTACATATTGAAGTCCCCTAATATAACTAAATTAGTTTTATATTTTACACATAGTTTTTCTAATATGCTAAACATTAACATATATTCGTTCTCGTCAGCCTGCGGCGGTATATACACGGCACAACTAGTAAATAAAAAATGGTTCTGAATATAAACAGCAGCACAAATTAGTTCAAACTTTTGACTGTCAATATTAAAATCACCTGGCACAGTCACTCGTCGCAACTCGAACCGCTGTGTGGCCACTAAAAGTACGCCGCCCTGTTTGCGCCTATCTGCCCGGTCACTTCGTAATATTTGGTATCCGGGGAGCACGAATTCTGAGTTTTGAATCGCTTCATTTAAGCCAGTTTCAGTAATAGCGAATATATCAGATCCTGATGATTCTAATAATGATAAAAATTGTGTGGTCTTTGTCCGCAGTCCTCTGACATTTTGGTAAAAAACGTTAAAGTGTCTATTCGGTTTCCGATTTGTTTGTTTTGGTTTAGCGGCGAAACCAAATCCATTCACTGAATTCTACATTTACTGGCCATACTTCTGGGTCACAAAACTTGTCATAATCGCGTAACACCAATCTTGAACGACGCGTATTCTCGCTCAGTTTTAGGTTTTAATTTTTCAATAACGATTTCTGACTCGTTTCCCAGTATTTTTTTTTTAAAACTCCTGTAGATTTTCTTCTGTAGTGCCAGTTTCCAGTCTCCAAACATGTAAAAATTTTCTACGTTCAACTGCTTTTATAAAAATAACTGATTTGTTTCCTCCTCTTTGTATAAGGTTACTCCTCCTTTTATTTTTATTTTTGACTTCTATCCAATCATTACCATCGTTATCGCCGATTTTCGTATCCACTGCTTTCCTGGCCGCCGCCGCCGCATAATTTGTTCCCGGGGGCTTCGACAGCGCGGTCGCCCGCGCGTGATAGCCTTTATTGTTGATGTTGGACGAAATAGCTGGTTCAGTACACTCTGGTATTGTAGTTATTAATCATCGATTTTGGCATTCGGTACTGATATCATAACTTTCATTTTCCTCGCTTATCTCTAACACTTGCCTCTTAGCTTTTAAACATTTAATTTGTTGTTCATAAGAACTACATTTCATATTAGCATCCTTCAATTACTGCCTTAATTTACTATTTTCTAGCGCAAGTACTGCCACAGTGTTTTTAATTTCTTGTATAATGTTAGTTTCAAAAGCACAAATTTTTGCCATGATTACTCTCTCAACTATATCGATTATCTCGTCCGATGTTAACGACTCTGCTATCGCCTGAGAAACATTTCCCTCGAAAGATTGGTTACGTTCAACGAGGCAGGCGGTGCGAACACCACTTACTGGTGTGTCGTCGGTTACCCGTATACGCTGGGTTATGTTTAAGCAAAAATCACACTTGAAAGTACGTTTCAAATGTTCTCGTTCTTCCGTAAACGCAGCCGAGGTAATATTCACACATCTATAATGGTATTCTACCTTGCATCCATTGCATTTAATCATCTCCTCAACATCAATGTCTACTGCCACATGCCGGACAATTCATTCTGAATTCCAAGAATGTTATAATAACACCGTGCGACAAAACAGATATAGCTAGCTCCCGTTAGAGCGAAAGAGCGCGATGCGGGCTCGGCACTTCACGCCACGCGCACAGATTGATTTTCGTCACTGCACTTTTTACACACAAAATAATGTTCGAAATAGTTTTCAATAATTTAATACTGTACTTCATATTTTATAGGTATATCAACCTATGATATTTCATTTGAACACATTTTTATAACGGTAGAGTCCGGATTTCCTAGCTTAGAAAAATAAATCTCGAGAGCAACCCGCACATGTACGTTATATAGCGACGAGCGAGTTCGATAAAACTAATATTTGCTCGATTTTGAAGATGGGCAAAATTATCTGAACTTTTTGCCAACATTGCCCACGTTGATTTTTTAAGCAAATACAGTTTGTAATGGACCAGCAATAAGCGTCACTACCGAGATGTGAGAAATCTTGGCGTTGGTTTAAAAACTTTGTTAGTAGTGTTAAAACATTTACAGTAAAATTTGTGGGAAAAGTTAACTAGCTATTTTCGCTCTCTTCCATACAAGCCGCATTGAGCGATTATATGAGTGATAATAGTGTTAGGGTTGTCACATTCTAGTTAATGTCAATCATCTTACAAAATTTCTATAGAGGTAGCTGGATATTATAAAAATCGTGAACAAAATTAAATGTTTATTTGTTTTTTCCCTTATTTCTAATTTTATTATAATAAATTGAGATCAATAAAGGTTCATTTAGTTTGTAAAATCAATTGTTAAATAAATCAAAAAGTAAATGAGGAAACTTATAGTTAGCTGATGACCTACTATGATAAAAATCAAAACACATTAAGTTATCGTTGAGACAGTGAATGTACAAAAAAAAATAGGAACCACAATGATGTGCATTTTGTATAGAAAATTCAGTATTTCTATAATTACATCAAAATAATTTTAGTATTTTTGTTTCTTAGCCATTCACTGATGATTTCAATATTAGGACATACGTAACTTGTGTCTCATTTTCGTTAATATAAGTAGATATATATCATATATCTAAATATATAATATCACACATGGTAAATCACTCCTACTTAAAATTACCGAAAGTAACATAACAATATTTAGAGGCCGTATGAACTTTTCAAATAATAACAGTTATTTAAAGCTATCTATTATTGAATCAAACTATTTTTTACTGTTTATTTTACTATTTTATTATTATGTTATTCTAATCAGATTACTCGTTGGAAAAATAAGTCTATTAAGTTCTTTTCAGGTTGTTGTTATGTAAAAATCGTTTAATTTTTTAAAAGATTAGGTTAATTTTTAAGTGTAGCGTTATTATTTTGCTACATAAAAATTTTTAATTAGGCTAACACAGCAAAAATTTACCCTTAATCATAAATATTACTTCTATTGTATGTTAAAATTATTCAAATTGACATCAAATATAATTTGACCACGTCTAGATATCGTTGGCTTAGGCAAAATTGAAATAATATCTTCTAAGTGGTCTATCGTGCAAATGTCATCTACGATAGGGTACGTGAACGTTGTCCATATTTTACATTTGGATTCTTTTACTTTTCTTAAAAAATTTTATTTTTGGTTTTTTGTCATTGATTGATAAAACTTCACCCACAAAATGGTTTTAAACTCTTTTTAGTAGTAAATCGAACAATAATCCAGTCACCTTTACTTAATTCACATTTTTGACAACCTCATTAAAATATTCAATATCACTTAGGCCAAATGGAATCTCTGTAGGTTCCACGTTTTCTTTTTCTTCTTGATCTTTTAAACATTCAGCTATGTAGTAGCTATACATTGTTTCATAGTCTGAATTATCCGTGTCAGCTAATGTAATAGTAGAAGCTGCAGAAATGGAGCTCGAAATACTAGCAGATAACCACTTTTTTCGTTTTATAGAAGCATGTTGTAGGGTTCTCTTTCCCACGTTATTTTTTCTATCTACTTCCGTTGTTTTTGGACCAATATTTTTCATCTTTATTTCTTTTAAACCTTTTTCTTTATTTTTTTTCCTTTCTTTGTAGGCATTCTGGCAAATCTCGATTACTCAAAGCTATAAATGCGTATGCGTTCCAGCCTTAATTATTATATCAGAAAGTATAGTTATTTTGGAAGAACTAGGGCTTTTTGCAGAATTTCCAGATGTCTCAACATTTCCCAGATATTTCGGTAAATTATGATCATTCATAGACATTAATGAAGTAACAGATTTCGAAAGTGAAAAATCATGTCACTTTATGCACAGTGTTGCACAACAAAGTGTTAATAATATCAATACAATAACTGCTAAGACTCTTAGGAGTTTTTAGGATAAGAGTAGAATGCTGGTATTTTGACCAATCATTTTGTTTGTTATAATTTTCCTCAGAGGTGTTGTTAAGGTTAAACGGATCAAGAGCAGCGTTTTTAAAGTTACTATTCTCAATATCTATACCAGAAAATTTATCAAGACGGTGTATGTTATCGTTTATACTCTGAATCTCAAAATCTTGATCCTCTTTGGTATCATTATTTGGACTTTGAATTAAAATACCAGTTTGATCATCTAAAAAGAAAATATTCTCCTTATGTAATTTTTCCACTCTAAATAAATACTTTTTATTTATTTTATTTTTCAAGTTGCACAATTTATCTTTGCAAGAATTAATAATGTTGAGATCAGAGATTGTCACCGATTTCCCCGATTCGCAATTTACCTTTTTTATTTCTCTTTAATTCCATCGGTTTTGGAGCTCTCGTTTTCTTTAAATAATCTATTAAAGCCTGATCAACTCCATAAGACAATATTTCCTCTTGAATTTCAGCAATCTTTTTTAACACTTCTTGAGTATTTTGTGGGAATATTCCCGTTGCTCTAAAACCATTTCTTATGTTTTATCAATTCTATTAGCAACTTGGGGAAATATTTTTTTGTTCAGTGAAGTCTGGTCGGGATTTTTAATTTTGTACTTGTACAAGATTTGTCGCCAAGCTTTTTTCAATGGTGCAAAAAATCCTACGTCAAGAGGCTTGGTGAGGTGCGTTGACCGTGGAGGTATAAAAACAAACTTGATATAATTTTGTTCACATAACTTTACTACTTTCATATTTAAGTGACTAGATAAGTTATCGCAAATTACAACTTTATCACCTGGCGTCTCTTGTGCCCAAGGAATAATTATCTTTTGAAAGTAATCTTAGAACATAGCGCTGTCTAACCACCCAGATTTTGTAAAGTTGTATCTAGTACCAGGTTGCGCGCCTGTAATCCTTTCCGAGTACAAGTTTGTTGCTTTATAGACAACATATAAAGGCAACAATTGACCACTCGCAATTGCTGTAAACATAACAGATATGTTTCCTTTAGTGGAATTGGCTAATCTTTCGGGATATCTTACTCCGCGTCGAAATATACCTTTAGAAGATCCTGGATCATCCGACAGATGGGTCTCGTGAAAGTTAATTATATTTGCTGCTGGAATATCTTTCAATGTTCTGCTTAAATTTTCAAAATAGTTAGCTATTTCTTGTGGACCCTTTTCGGCTCTTGCTTTCGAAATATTTTGTGTGGTTCTTGAGCTTAGTTCATCACTAAGTCTAGCCAAAAAACCTTGCACCCATGCATCACCAGGAATTTTATTCTTCAACAAGTTTTCTCGAGAATTTTTTTTTTCAAATATTCTTGAACCAACAATTTGAGATCTTGTTTAGTTAGCGGAGATCCAAAATCACTAAAAGCTTGCAAAACAATGACAATTTTTTTCTCTTCTATGATTGACAAAGCTGTAGGATGCCCAACAGGTTTTAAATGCATTTTTAATTTTATTTACAATAGTACGTCGTGGGATTCCAAACTGCTGTTCAGCGTCTCTTGATGTAATATGGCTAGACGCAACTGCTTCGCATGCGATTTTTAACATTTCTTCGGAGTCATTTTTATACATTCGGGACCTAATTTCAGGACGTGACATTGTGAGTCGAATTTTAGGCTTGTGTTTGTTTTTCTGAAATTTTAAATAAAAAAGTAGGGTCAGAACCGATTGTTAATACAAATGTACTTATATTATATTCAATACAGGTATGTATGTACGTACATGTTTGTATTTTAAAGTTCCAAATTTATAGGTGCATTTTATGGAGATTGGTCAATTAGTCAATTAGTAATCATGAGCTAGTTACGCTGCGGTATAGCAACCTTATGATTAAAGACTTTGGTCGAGTACAAAACTAATCGACTAATCATGGATAATGCACGTGAGGAAAACCGCCCATAAATACTTCCAAACTAGAATATAATTTTCGGAAGTATATTAATTATACAAAAAATTATGTCAGACCTATGAAAGTAATCAATAAATTGACAACGACTTCAATTCTTGATAAGTTAAAAAATACGTCAAAAGATTAACACATTTATAAACGAAAAAATCAATCAAAAAAAAAAAAAAGAGTGACAACCCTTGGTATTTTTTGATTGCGGGCAATGTTGACATTTTTGAGTCTGAACATTATTGGGTAACTTTGCCCACCATCACAAGTTTTGATTTATAAACCCTTTAGTACTGAAACTATGATTAAAATACTCTACAGTTGATATTTTAGAACATACTTTAAAAAATTACTGAGTGAAATCAGAAACAAATCCAATACTTAGTGTAGCCACAAATATAACTGACTTTCCACTCAACTAATCAATGTTGCCATAGATCTAAAATATTATCCCGCTATAACGAATTTGTTTATAAATTGCTTTTTGGGCAAAGATAGCTTGGTTGGCAAAGTTGTCACATTTCACGGTACAAATAATTAACATCACCGCAGGCGAAACCGCGAGTAAACCTTGCTTTACCTGCTAAACTTACCGTTTACATTTAAATTACTAGAGCAGTTTTGACTTGTTGGTTTCAGAGACAAGTCAGGGACATCGTTTTGGTCAATGTCACTATTGTCTAGTACCGAAGCGGAAGTCGTCGTTTCTACAACTGTCAGTCATAGACGAATCTTTGCCCGGTTTATAACTATTCTATCAGTTATAGGCGAATCTTTGCCTATGATCTCCAATATAAGGTCATCTATTGGATTGAAAAGGCTTTTTTTTCCGCCGCCAGTTCCTGTTGTTCTTGCATTATCTCTTTTACTCTGAAAATAAACCAAAAAAGCATCTTTTAAAAAATATCAAATGTCACTCAAGATTAAACAATGCATTAATTATAAAAACGTGTTACAAAACAAGGAAAAAAAAACCAACGTAATTTCATATGACTTCACTATGGCTATAATATTTACCTACGACATTATAAGTTAATCATCTACTAGAGTGTGTATTCCGTGCCACATTATTTATTGTATCTATCCACAGATTACCTCCTAATAGATTCCGTATACAGGGCCACAAACGCGCGCAACACATACTTGCTGTAGCTAGCACATGAAGTGACGCTAAGAATCACGATATCATTGTTGACCAATTTGTGACCCGTAGGCACGTCCGAGTTTTTGAATATTTAAAAATAATTTTGGTATCCAAAATACATTACAAATGGCTTCCTATGCAGTGAAATGGTGTAGCAAGTCAGCTAAGACATCTAGTTATCAAAAAGATGGCATAATATTTCATCGGTAAGTAAATTTTGTTCTTATCACGTTAATCTATTTCAAATGCACCGGAGTTCAACTTACACTGGATATATAATGTTGCAAAGTGATATCATTTGAGCACCCGTTTATGTATTTTTGAGATGTCCCTTTCACTCATTACGTAAATTAAAATAGTTGTCTTTGTCTAACGACAGCACGTGTATCGATAGTGTTGTGATTTATGAGTCGATATTTGTTTGGTCATCGTTTACTTTTTTTTTTGTAGTCGTCATTTTATACAAATAGTGGCGTATAATTGTGCTACCTATATGTTATAGGTTTCCTAAAAAGAAAAGATGTGGATCGACGCTACATGTCGAGGGGACCAATGGTTTCCCACCAAAAATAGTGTGCTATGCTCAAGACACTCCACAGAAGACAATCTTCACATTACGAAAAACCGTAGAAGGCTGTTGGATTCCGCTATACCATCTCTATACTTGCCAGTTTTAGTATGGACTTTTACATTTTTTTAAAAGTATAATATCAGGATTAAGAAAGGAATGCTTCGGTGGTTTGGTCACGTAGAAAGAATGAATGAAGAAAGAGTGACAAAGCAAATTTATATGGCAGATGTGAATGGCCGAGTCGGGAAGTGACGCCCTAGGAAAAAGTTTATCGACCAAATTGGCGATATTTTGAAAATGGGCCACGTTAGAAGTACCCTTAACCGACGAGCATGTATGCGCAGATATATGGATGTAAAGGAGGCGAAAGAGGTATGTCAGGATCGTGCCAAATGGAAGTCCGTAGTCTCTGCCTACCCCTCTGGGTGACAGGCGTGAGTGTTTATGTTATAATATCAATGGTGATTACACAATAAGTAATAGCATTAAGTAGTTGATTGAAACGTGATATTCTAATATTTAGGCGAATGTTACACGTCGAAATTAAACTATTTTTAACGGATTTATAAATCATAGAACAAGTGAAAGTTATAATGGGATGTTATTCTAGTGTTACATGAACTTCAGTAATATCCTATTATTATTATTATTAACTACATCTAAATTTGAAATACGTGCCATATGCACCTAAAAAGTAGTATTAATTAATAATACTACTTTTAGGTGCAACACTAGGCAAAAAATACTGTCACCACCGAAAGGACGTAGCAGAACACACACAAAGGATTCACACCATTTTGTTAGTGAGATAAAAGACCTACATCTCGCTGACAATGAAACTATGTTCAGTTTTGGTGTTCAGTCACTATTCACATGCCTACCTATAGAAGACTGCTTCTCAATTGTAACTAGGAAGCTACAATATAACAACATGTCTGCAGAATATGCAGTATTACTCAAACACTGCTTCACATCTGGCTATCTATTGTAGAAGGAGAGTTCTACAAGCAAGTTGATGATGTGGCGATGGGCTCACCTGTATTTCCTATAGTCGCCGACATATACGACGGTGGATTGAAAAGTACTCGGCCTAACACAGATCCATTCAATTCTAAAAAATCAAATCTACCCACATTATTTAGTTCAGTTCAGACTAGTTCATTGTGTGAAGTTCGAAACGTGTGCGATAATTAGTTGTGATTTTATAAATTTATTAACAAAGTAATCGGACATAATTTCCGCGAATGGAGCAAATCGAGCAGCGTGCCGTCGTTAAGTACCTCCATAAGAAGGGGCTATCATCAAAAGCCATCCATGATGACATGGTCAGTACATTAGGCGATTGTGCTCTGTCATATTCATCCGTCAAAAAATGGATAGCAGAATTTAAGCGTGGTAGAGAGAGTGTGAAAGATGAACCCCGCTCTGGAAGGCCTTCGGCGTCAACTACTGACGAAAATATTAAAAAAGTACTTGATTTAATAATGGGAGACCGCAGATTAAAAATTAGAGAGATAGCCAAGATTATAGGCATCTCTTATGAACGAACTCAAAACATCATTGTCAACGAGTTGGGTTTCCACAAGGTGTCTGCGAGGTGGGTTCCGCGACTGCTTTCAGTTGAACAAAAAAGGACGCGATTGACTATTTCACGCAACTGTTTGGAGTTATTTGAAGCCGATGCAGATGATCTTTTGAATCGTTTTGTTACTATGGACGAAACATGGGTTCATTACTGTACACCGGAAATAAAACAACAATCAAAACAGTGGAGAAGACCTGGTTCACCACCCCCTAAAAAAGGCTAAGTCGATTTTGTCGGCAAATAAGGTGATGGCTTCAGTATTCTGGGACTCGAAAGGTGTGATTATGATTGATTATCTTGAAAGGGGTCAGACTATAAACTCTGATTACTACTGCACCTTACTACGTCGTTTACGAGAGGAAATAAAAGAAAAACTTCGAGGAATGCTCAGAAGAAAAGTACTGTTTCATCAAGATAACGCCCGTGTTCACACGTCAGTACAGTCAATGGCTGAAATTCACAACTGTGGCTTTGAACTGTTACCGCATCCGCCGTATTCACCTGATCTGGCACCATCAGACTTCTTTCTGTTCCCTAACCTAAAAAAGCACTTGGGAGGTCAAAGATTTTCGACAAAAGACGAGGTCAAAGCAGCTGTAGACGCATATTTTGACTCTAAGGAAGAATCATTTTTTTTCAACGGTCTAAATGCTTGGAAGGGGAGGTGACAAAAGTGTATTGAACTTGATGGTGATTATGTAGAAAAATAAAAATATAACTGATTTAGTATGTGTTTATTTTCTTGGTTAGGCCGAGTACTTTTCAATCCACCCTCGTATCATAGAGGACTTTGAGGAGAAACCCTTCCTATTGCTCCTATAAATCCAAGATTGTACAAGCGGTACGTAGACGACACTTTCAAAATTTTACCGTTTGACAAAGCAACTGCATTTTTAGACCACCTTAACTCAATAAGTTTCAAAATACAAATCACGATGGAGTTAGAAGCAAATAATACTTTAGCTTTCCTAGATGTTTTAGTCATCCGAAATCCTGATAACACTATTGGTCATACTATCTATAGGAAAAAGGCCTACACCAACCGATATTTAAATGGTGAATCTCACCATCATTCTTCATAGTTTGCTACTGTGGGTAAATATTTGTTTCAGAGACAGAATACATCTGACCGCCGAGCTTCAGCATGTCAAGCAAGTATTGCAAGGCAACAAGTTTTGGGTCCCAAGCCTACGTGACAGCGACCGAGTGAAGCCGGCCACAGTCGGTGGATGGGTGCTGCCATCTGCTTGGGATCCTATAATTAACAAAATCTATCCAAAACCAAGCATACCACTGCAAGACTTCAAGATATTGTAAGCTCGTTTAATGTAGATTGGGACCAAAAATCAATATTCAAAAACTGAAGATAGCTGGGCTAACTATGATATTGAGATGTCAAACATCTCAGTTCCCCCCCCCCCCCCCCCGTGACCACAAGTTAATTAAACACCATAAAATCCATATAATTCTATCCTCGTAAGGCCCAACCTAAATTTAGGTCGATATACATTACGACCCAACGTACTAAAAATAGGTGCAAGTAGTTGCGACCCAGAACTTTGGTTAAGTACAAAAGTGTGTAAATGTATTACTTTTGGTCAAATTATTTTAAGGGGTATTTCCTATACCTAAAGTTACCTATTTCACGCAAAAAATATGTTGAAATAGCTTGTCCTTATTTTAGGTCACTGGGCCACTGTTTAATATATAACATTAGTTTGAATCAATCAAATCTATTCAGTTATTTATCATGGAATAGCAAATTATACCAGAAATAAAAATAAACTTTGTAAAAAAAAATATTTATTATTTTCTTCCTTCATTTTAAACCTTATTAATTAATAATTTTATGTAACACAATTACAAAATTTTCTAAATCAGTCTCATTTTTAGCAAACATGTATCTTCGCATTACACATGTTAATCATATTACTAAAATAATGTTCTTACTTACTATAATCAATGGCAATATTTCAAATAATAATATTAAAGTTGTCGTATGACACACAATACTAATTAGAAATATAGATACTTAAAAAAAGAAAATTTTAAACAAATGTATCAATCAATAAATCTCAGTGTGGAAGTTATAAAAACAATTTCGTTCTTTAGTTAGGCACAAGTGAATGTTGCACTTCTTGCATATAATTGTGCTTTTCTTGTTGCATCCTGGTCTTCTGCACCTGTTTTGAACTTCTCCATCCGACGGCAAATGGAGTGCACCATGAGTTCTTGAACTGGCGCAGGGAAGCGGTACAGCTGGTCTAGAGCGTTTAGGTCGAGACTGTTCTTCGTCTTCTGTTTCGGAACTAGTGGTGAAATTAGCAGTTACTGAAGTTTCGGCTATTTCCATTTTAAAACTTCTCAGTTGCTGATTTTTTTTCACCGGGACATTTTTGCGTAACTCTTTTGCTTTATAATTTAACCATGAATTAGTTGTAGCCAAATCAAACATATGTGCGATAAATCGCGTTGTCCATTTTCTTGTTCGATATCTCGACGGCGCCACAGCTAAGAGACGATCAGCAAGATCGACTCCTCCCATATTAGAATTATATTGTTTTACTACTTCCGGTCTTGGTACTTGGTATGTTACTACACTTTATTCTGTTTACACCATCTTTGGCAGGTGTCGGAAGGTTGGGTAGCATACAAAGACAGGAAAGTGACAGGTTTGTTATCAAACCATTTAGTTATAGCTATATTCTTCTCATCGTTGACCAATACCTGACAACTCCCTCTCCCTGCTTTCTTTAAGTCTTTGTCCTCTTTGAGTATTAATCTTGCGGACTTAGGTACTCTATTCTTCATCAATGTACCAGCGCACATCAGGCCTCTGTTTTTTAATTCCACAATCAGTGTCTCGTTGGTAAAGTAATCCTCCGTTAAGGCAAGAACTGCCTTCTCTTCCAACCCGAATGATGTATCAGCATAAGAAGGATATGTAGTCGCCCCTTGATATATATCAAAATCACACACTACTCCGGTGGGATTCGCCAAGACAAAAGTTTTTAAACCTGTAAGATTAGGTTTACCTGGGCAATATTGCTTCATCCCACAGGCGCCCGTAAAAGGAATTATCATTTCGTCAATTGACAGTTTTTGATCCTTTGGTATGGAATGACAACCCTTAAGAATTTCTTTGATAAGAGGGCGAACTTTCCAGAGCTTGTCATTACTTTTATCTTCGGCAGAAAAGTCGTTGTCATTAACGAGTTTTAAAGAATTCCGAAGAATGAAAAATCTGTTCCGAGACATATGATCAGCTACAAAAGCGACACGAAATTTGTGTTGCCAGTACATTCGGAGAATTGGATATCCAATACAAGACATGGCTAAATTAATTGCAATAAAAATGTAGCACTCGGGAAGTGTCAAATTTAAAAACTGGCCGTTTCTTGATAGATACATCTCATTGGATCTACGATAATTTGCATCAGCTCATCATTTACGTATCGACGAAAATAATCAATTTTACAGAATTCTTCGCCATTAAGATGTAAATACGATGGCTGCATAAAAGGAATTATATCAGGATTAAAATCTTTTTCTTTCCAACCTCCAAATTGTCCATCGTCATTGCCAATATCCTAGTTATCTTCAGCTTCCACTTGCTGGTACAATCTCCCACGAGATGAACTTCCTCTTCTACTACTTGCTCGAGAAATCGAAGAAATTCTTCGACCACGACGGCCACCTCGACGCTGTAAGCTCCTTCCTCGCGTAACAGAAGAATTAGAAATCGCAGGACTTGAAACTGTAAGCCTACCTTCAGAATCAGAAGACGATTCTGCTGAATTGTCCGATTGACGATTTCGGCCCTGAGGTCGATAATCCACATCATCGATATCATCATCGCCGTCATCATCTTCGAACTCGGATACGTCCAGATTAAGCTGATTTTCTATAGCTTCGTAGTCCATGGCTTAAACAAAAGAAAATAAAGTAAACACCCAATGTCCTAAAATCATGACATAGAAATTAGACTAACTTTTACAATAAAAACCCACCAACCTTATTTTGGGACAAAGTTTCTATCGTTCGAATATTACGGGATTAAGACTTTGATACGAAAAAATCATGTCGGAACTAAATATAATATATCCGCAACTGTTTGCTATACATTTTAGACATCACCATGTTATGATTATAAAGATATGAATAGATTTACTTACCAATCTCCACGAGACTTTCGTTCACATGAGATGAAATGTCAAAAAGACAGATTCTTGGTTCTTAAATGTCAAGTTGACATTGCCAAAATTAGAGATGCGTTCATAGTTAATAGTTTTTTTGATGGCAGATTTAAAATGGCAGGATTATTTAAACCAAAAATTACGTTCAAATATCATATCATAATTTTAGGTCGCCGGGCCGCAATTTGACGATTTTAAAAGCTGTGTTGGGCCGGAATGCCAAAATATTTTTGTCATTAAATTAGGTCATTGGGCCTTACGAGGATATAGTTTTATTCAATGTGTAGTGTACAAATATATATATATATATATATATATATATATTCTTTTATTTATATACACTGTTTTATTTTTTAATACATTTCAAATAAAAATGGATCAATTCATTTATTTATCAATAATCAATAAATCAACGACCCAACCCTGTCCCATCACTATGATTCGGAGCATTCTAAGTTCAACCTTGAATTATCCAATCACAGCGCATTTGACAAGTCCCCCGCAACTTGAAATTTGGTGAAATCGAAACAGAACAAATATTCCATGATGCGGTATCTATTAGGAGGTAATCTGTGTATCTATCACATTTTATTGAAATGTGGCTTAAAATATAATTAGTAAAATCTTTTTTTCTTTTTGTACTGTAGTGGACATACACGTAAATAAATAACAAAATGTACTTATGTAATTTATAGGAAAAATTATTTTCAATAATTACAAGAACTTTTTAAAGTTAACGAATGTTTAAAACATACTTACGAAAGTAGCTCGTTTTAAATTTGGGTAAAATGTATCTCAAACATAGGTGTAATCTTTTCCCGGAATTTACCAGACCAATTTAATTAAAATTTTCTTCCACTCTTCTATTTTTTTGTTTGGACATCCTATGGCTAAATGCGCCAAATAAAATGACTTTATACTAATCATTTGTAAAAAAAATTCAAGAAATCGCAAAATCTCGCCGCGAATACACTTCAAATTATAAATAAAAGGCGGGAATACTTTGTCGCTACTACCTGTGGGCTATACTTTTTTAATGTCCCTTCAAAATTAGGCACAGACAATATACCATACAGCCATACGTTTATATAGGGATATTCAATTAAAAAAAAAAAAAATGTCGGGAAAAAATGCGGCATACATTTTTGATTTTAGAATTTACAAGTAGATTTTTTCCTGTCCTGTAGATTTTTTTTGATAAACGTAATTTACACGAACTTGTAAAAACTTTCTTGTAAAGTGTAACTTGTGAACAAGTAGACTTGTCAGTTTTGATAAACAGGACACTGGTCTCGAATAGGCTAATTTTGAAAGTAAGGTTAATATTTTATTATATTTTTAAGGACTTTAGGCTGGATTTGGCTAGTTATGAACGTTATAAGACAATGAAAAGTCTAAAGAAAAATGTGGTGTACTTACTCTTTGGTCTATGAATTTGGATTTGACCAGTTTTGAAAATTTTCCCCTGATATAATTTCACTGTATAATAATTCAATTTTAAATTGTTTACGCTCGAAAGACGTCCAACTGCAGTGTGCATAAAAATCTTATATAGATTTTGTTGCACTATACATATTAATAGAGAAATTGCATTATTTTTTTGCCACAAATTTATATATAAATGAAAGAATAATTAATTTGAAGTATATTAAATAATTTTTTTTATTAACAATCTATTTTTTAGTCATTGTTAAGGTTTTGCGGGGCTATTCCGCCTAAAAAAAGTGACTTTGCTTCAGCAAGCAATAACAACAAATTAGTAAATGCATCATAAAAAGCATTTATTTGTTAATGATTACGATAATGATTACGAATTACTTATATATAAAATCAATATTTTATTTTACAACCAAGGTATTTTATGAAAAAAAACTGGAAAACGGCGGGAAAACCCCGCAGAGGGGCTTTTCCGACGATTGAAGTGTAGGGATTATCACAGTGCTAGGAAACTGTATCCAATCATGACATATTTCAAGTGAATTGTTTTCTTGATGATCTTCATCTTTTGCCGACTGACCTTTAAGAGTTTGGATTTCACTTTTGTAATATTCGTCATCCTCGGGTTGATTATTTTCCAAAAGGTTGTTAAAAAAGATTTCCGCAGTTTCGTTATCATCGGAGTCACAAACTAACTTATAAGATCCTGAACTGTTACTGTCACTTTCACTTCTTTTTCGTTTTTTTTATTTGTTGTGTTTTCAATTCTGTCTCTTATGTATGTCTGCTTTTTGAACTTGTCTTTTGGTATTTCTGTTTCTTCTGAATTTTCCCTGTTGTATTTTGTTTCGTTGGCTTTTCTTTTTTCGTTAATCTTTTACCTTTTTTTTAATTTTGTTTTCTTTTTCTTTTTTTTCTTTTTTGAGTCGGTCCAGTGCACTTTTATAAGTTAAAACTTTGGCGTTGCTGTTAGGCACACGTTTTTTACGACTTACTATGGGATCATTTTGGCAATTGTTTTTAGTAGTAGTGATTCAAATGATACGATTTCTTCAATTTTTGTCTGAGGCTTTATTATTATTTCGTTTAATACTTTTAGTGTCGTCCGCTCTTGGGTTGCATTGAATGTTTTGGGTATAGGTAGTTTATATGAGGCAGGGTTTTTCATAGGGAAACTAGTATCCTGTTTTTGAAAGTCCGAGCTTATATTATTGGCCTGCTGATCACAATTTTGGTCTTGCGGTACAGCTAGCGCCTGTGTTTTTGTGGTATATGTCTTTAACAAATCAGATTGTTCTTTCCTCACGATCCATGAATCTCCAGGTTGTTTATTGTTATTATACTTTGTTCTGCGAGACGTATTTACTTGGGTGTCAATTTTTGCTCGTTCATTTCCTTATTATGTTGTTTTAGTTCCAGTTTCTTTTGTTTTTGAGTATTTGTTTTTGGTCCCTGGATCGTTTCAAAATCATTTCTAATGATAATATTAATAAGGTCGGTACGCTACTTGCGGTAGTGTAGCTTTTGTGGGCAGATTTGCCAATGGCAGCATCAATCTCAGCAGTTTTCATTAGTAGCATCTGATCTTTATTATTGGCATTAAATACTTCCCATGTTTCAAGTTTTTGGCTGTCGAATGATGCTTTTGGTATGGCATTACGATCTACTGGGTACGCGCCGGTTTTCCGAAATCCATTTTGAATTACGACTGGGTTTAATTCGTCCCAAATTTTTGTTATTATGCGTGCTAATTCTGGCTTCGGCAACTTAGACCCAATGTGAAGTCGCTGCCATTTTATAATTTCATCTTCCCATTTATCTTTAAAGGGTTTCATAACGCTGCAGTCTAAAGGTTGCAAAATGTAAAAAGAGTGAGCTGGAAGTTTAATAATTGTGATCCCAACGGATGCTGCGTACTCAATAACGCTTAAATCGACATGTGTCGAATGTCCATCAAATATAAGAATAACAGGCGCTTCTCCTTTTAATGAAGACACAAATACTTTTCGGATGTATTTTTCGAAAATGGTGGTCTCCATCCATCCTTTTTCACTAACAGCATAAGCTGTTTTTACATTTTCATTTGGGCAGAGCCATTGAGTCCAAAGATGTTTGCCTTGAAAAATAATCAATGGCGGTACTTTAACACCACATGCATTCGTTGCCAGAAGAATAGTTGTATTATTACGTCCAGGTCCACTAGTAGTTATGGTAGGGTTAAACCCTTTTTTTTCCAATTATTTTTCCTTTTAGTGGATCCTGGCAAATCGAAGTTTTATCAAGGTTATAAACTTTATTTGGCTTGTTTTGTAGCCCTAACTCTTCCACCACTTTCTCTAATAAGTCGAAGTACGCGTAGACTATAAAAGGATCGCTAGCCTTTCGCCGCGATATCTCAACCGCTTGCGGTTTTTTTAATAGAAAGCCCATTACGTTTCTTGAACGCATTAAAGCAGTCCCTTCCTGGCAAATCTCCTTTAAATGGAGTATTGATACCGTTTCAGCGTACAAATTCTGAAATTAATAAAGAAGTTTCCTTGCGTGTCAAAGGAAAGAATTTTTTTTCCATTATATGAAGACAATTAGCCATACGTTTTTCAAGTTCATATGAAAATACCGTCGGATGACCCGCAGAGGCATGAAAACAATTAAGTCGCGTGTTAAGTGTTGACCTAGGTTTATCATGATATTTCGCCGATGCGTACGCGGTCATTTTATTGCTTCGCACATCTTCTAAAGCTTTTTGAATTGTAAGTTCCGAATACTTCTTTTCTCTTTTCCGCTTGTAATGACGGACCATCTACAACAATAAAATTATGGCATGATAATATGAAAAGCAGCGTAGGTGCAATACAAGTTAAATGTACAAACGTAACGAATTTTGGAGTATCATCAACCTTTTGTCAGTCCACTGCTGGACATAGGCCTCCACCATGGCTTAACACTTCGTATTTGCCGTAGATGCTATGCCCACAATTGCTATTCTGATTTTGCAATGTATTAAACGATTTTTTTAAACGTAGGTTACGTTGGTCATTTTTATCAACTTTTTGCAACATTCATCATGTCATCGTTTCACACCCCACTCTGCATATATATTAAATTGAAAAATCTTTATTTCATTAACACATTACAGTGCTCTCGAAATGAGTAAAAAAAATCAACATTCATCGTTATTTTTTCGACACTAGGGGACATCACTAACTTTTTTCAATATCGTACTAAAACGGTGGACTAGGGGACATCACTAACTTTTTTCAATATCGTACTAAAATTGTGGCTATTACGACATATCATTTTGGTTGCAATAACCCCCATCTTAGAATTTGTGGGACTATTATGCCGCATCAAATAACTCAGTAAAAACAAAGTGCAAAGTAAAACTGAATAGCACAACGGAATTTCTTGTTTCTCAAATCGTCATTTAACTTTACAAACACCAAAAAATGATAAATTCTACTCACTTTTGAAACCAAATCCGTGGAGCGACAGTGAAAGTCAATTCACTAAACTTGTCAAAAATGGCGTCCTAAACAAACATGGCTGTCGATCAAACAGTTTACGCGTTAGCAGTGCCATCTAAATGTCGATCTACGAAAAAGATTTTTCGCTATCCGCCTATAGATGCCGCTATGATAAATAATTTTATTTATGAAAGTTACAGCCAAACGACGGGATAACCCCGCCGGCCCGCCGGATTTCCCCTGTATTTTCTATATTCAGATCACCATGTGCCATAACAAAACATGAATAACCTGTATTATGCAATGATAATTTTTTTTAATTTTACGACATAAACATGAGTGTTTTATAATTTTACCATGCGATATAATGACGTCACTGTCTGAAAGGTCATTTTAGGAAAACCATTTTTAATTGTGAAATTACATGAAAAATCAATTGTTACTTTTTTAAACTTTACTAAATAATTAAGCTATTGCATAGCTTCTATCGCGGGCCTTGAGCGCGGGGACCGAATCCAGAAATTCCGTAACGAAAAAACCTCACGCTCCCCCACTCCGACGGGCACGGAGGTGTGGCGTTGAAAGCCGTGCATCGTCTAACGTCGTTTTAGTTCGGCAGACTTCGGCACTCGGCAGAGTTCGGCACGGTGTTTGTGTGCGTGCGACTAGACGTATGCGTGTACACTAGCTGCTAACTGAATGATAAAAATTCCTGAATAACCTACATGTATTGTAAGATATTAAAAATATTTTAAACAATATTAACTTCTCATTTATTCAATAAGAGAAAAAAAGTTGTTTTCTTATCGGTCACCACGCTCAAAAAGTGTAACTTGATTTAATATCAAAGACTTAACTGCATAAATAGAATAAATAAATAATTATAATTGCCTAAGTTGATAAAAAATGCTATGCAATAGCTTTACCGCGGCGGTCACCGAGTGCCACACGTATTTTTTTTTAGTACACTTAAAAAACATGCAACTTCTCTATTGTGTATATTATGTATTTTTGTTAGTATAAAAAAAAACTGCAAATAGATTTCCCATTAGGGAGGATTTAGCCTTAGTTGTCACTCTTTGCAGACGGGTTGGCAATCGTAGTTTATTATTATTATGAGTTGTTATGAGGAAGATGGTGTTGCCCATCTTCTCTTTTAGTTTCTGTCGCCGCTTACAAAACCCACGGGACCATATGGAGTAGTGGATATCCTTATACCGCCACTACACGTTTTAATTTTTGCTAATAAAAAGCTAAAAAAGAATAAAAAAGCTCTCGGCCCTGCGCTTGACAAAAACTGCAACCTTCTTACCACTAAACTCTATGTTTGCGGCGATATGTGTCGCGCATATTACAGCGATTGCGATACTTCATCGTTACGAGCGTGCTTAGAAACCGGATTTTAACTTCTGAGGTAAGAACGAAGCTCTTAGAAGTTCGAGGGGTTACAGTAAGCTAGGAAAGGGCAAGTGAAAAAAATATATCCATATATATCGTATCGATATTTTTAAACGGTATCGATACATATCGCGTGATAAATATCGATATATCGTCGTGTTTTGCATGATGTAGTAGGACAAGGCTCAAAATGGTATTACTGTATGGTTGGGCGATAAAAAAATGACAACAGTATATGAATGCTTTATGTAGCTGCTTTTGTTGTGTTAATGTTTTGTCGATCAATAAAACATTTTAAGATAAGATATTATCGAAATTGATATACGAATTCGATACTCCAAAATATATCGATATATTGAATATAAGGTGCGCAATGTGTGACTAACAACTTATATGGATCTAGGTCTGAATAAAGGAATTGTTATTATTATATATCGAAATTTTAAATTATCGCCGATATATATCGATATTTTTATAATAAAATATTGATATTTTTACCTAAGCCCAAAGAGTAAGCACAAAATCTGTGAAAAAGAGACTTAAATCGGCCGTACTAAATTCACACTTGCCTGCCATATGCCCCATTCTTGCCACATGCCATCCAGGTAAGCGACACGACATTCGCTTTTGCGAGGCGTTTTTATAGTATCAACTCTCACCAAATAGACTTTAGGCATGATATTGTAACACAATAAATCCGACTATATGTCACAACATACAAAATTTTACATTCTTTTACAAATAGTTTTTAAGATGTAAGTACATTATAATTATTTAAATTTTAAGGCGTTGTCCGTTGTATTTAAATTAGATATTAAAAATTAGATAATATTATATAATTTAATATAGATAAATTAAGATATTAAAGTAATATAAGTAAAAAAATGATTTTTATTTTTATAAAATCCGACTTCCCTTCATAACAGACAAAAGTCAGCTGCTAAACCTAGGTCTCCCTATTGATTGCCCCTTAAAAGGAAAAAGGGCTGGTTATGAAAAATAAAAGACTCCCCCATCAATTTCTTTTCATTCTTCTATTACAGTCTGTCCGTCTGAACATAGGCCTCTTCTATAGATTGCTTCGTAGAGGGGATATTTGTCATAGTTGCCACGCCTGGCAGACGGGTTGGCAATCGCAGTTTAGTATATTATGAGTATCGGGCAGTAGTAGCAGTTTTATGTGATAGAGCTGAGTTGAACTATATTATGGTTGTAGCATGAATGGTTCGGCTCGAGCGGGGATGGACTACGCTCTCACAGAATACCAGCGTAAAATAGCAGCTTAATACTGCTGTGGTTCGTATGGTGAGTGTAGAGATCCGGAGACCCTTTTTTAATGGTAACAAGGCATTCCATCTTAGTCCTCAGGGGGACAACGCATCTGTTTTTTGATTCTTAATCGTGGATAAACGTGGATGTCTATGGGCTACAGCATCCACTTACCATCAAGTGGACTGTGTGCTCGTATGTCACCTTTATTTTATAAAAAAAGTTGTTGCACTGACCCCTGTCGCTTACAACACCTATAGGATGGTACGGGGTATTTGTGGATTCCCTTGTCAAAAGGCGGCATCCGATGATGTTAGAGCCGCCAGTGTCTATCCTAAAAGTAGGGAAGTAAGAAGATATACAGTCCACTAAGTACATGACTGACGTCAGGACCAGAACCATTCCTTGGGGCCCGTAATCTTAGTCGTAAACCACTTTCTTTTGAGAGAGCGGTCAAGGTTCTAAGTCGAACATCTTATCAGAGGTCTCGTCCACCGCGTTGACTCCCGAACCCAACGAGGCGTGGTATAGGAAAGGGTGCCAGTGATTGCTTTGTGGCCGTGAAAGATAAAGGGAAGATCTCTCGCCGGACAAGTTGTTCCGCCACCAAATACTACAACAGCCAACGCTCCGTGTGATGGTTCGGAGTTATTCTATATATTATACTGTTTTTACTTCGGAACTTTGATAGCGCGATTTAAGCTTCGATGTGATTCGCTTGTGGCGCGACGACAGCGCCGCCACAGGGATCACTGTTGGTGGCGTGAGATGAAGAACGTGACGCTCCTTTTCAAAAAGTTTATTTTTATTAAATCTGTCACGCCCTTGTTACTCTTAACAGAAATAAATCTGTACAGATAAATAAAATTGGAGTGTCTGTGAAGTGTAATATCGAAATAACATCTCTTAAGCTCAGGGGGTAATTTTATGCTATTAATTCACAAATAAACGTTTTAAAAATTGTCTGTCTGTCCGGGTTAATCTT